CTACTACTACTACTATACGTACTACTAAACACACACACACACACACACACACACACACACACACACACACACACACACACACACACACACACACACACACACACACACACACACACACACACACACACACACACTACACTCCTCAACAACATGCTGTTAGATTAGCAGACACCTAAATTACTCCGCTAGTGTCTTAATTAATTTGATAAGCCAGCTGAAGGTTATTAATTAACTTTGGAGCTTCCAGCTAGTGCAAGAGCTAAAGGTACAATACCATAAGGGCAGCTGGTAGTGTTAACTGCCTTGTGTGCACGCATTAAACAATGAAGGAGACAAGCAGATCCTCACTTTTAAGGAAGCTGTCTCAAATATAAGTGTCTAAAAACCTGATAACTCCAAACACAGACAGCACCTCCCCTGAAAGAGCTTTAAGGTGGGTGTCATCATCATGTTCATTTGTCCTGAATGAGCAACTGACCCCTCATGGACCCCTCATAAGTCCTCGAGATGTCAAAAAAGGTGTAAACTTGCTTTTATACATTCATCTCAATGGCTCACAGTATCCCTGTGTCAGACCAGTATTGTGTAGTTATCCTAATAACCCATTACAGTGCAACTACCTTTTTAAAAGAGGTCGGTGATTTGCTTTGGACAAGCCCTTTACACTAGTAGACAGCTAGCTGTAATCACATAGAGGGTTTTCAGTGAAAATGGTAACGACTATCCAAGAGTTCTGTTTTATCTATTAGTATTCATGTTACACTGTTGAAGGAGCCTGTGACTGAAGTTTTTCATTGCCATATCTACACTGTAGCTAATGTGCACATGACAATAAAGCCTTGAATCTTGAAACTTGAATCTTAAAAAATATGTTTCTCTATTAGTCACTCTCTATGGACGCATTCTGGTTTATGTATCTGCATGGCATCAACTCTACAGACTGTTATCTGCTATATATATATATATATATATATATATAAAGAGGGCAATATATTCACAGATTAACAGAGATTAGGGATGACAGCGATTTTTTCGAATATTCGTTAAAGTCTCCATAATCGAAAAAAAAAAATCCTGGCTTAGTTTCAACCAAAATATAGACTAATGCTAATAATAGTAATAGTATTAATAATTGTAATTGGCCATTGGTCACACCACCAGTTTATTTTACTGTGTGTAGCCTGCACTGCGCTGCTACACACCGACCCCGCCCCCCTCTCCGTCACACGTGCGATTGATTTATTGGCGATATACAGAACAGTGAGAACAACACAACTAAAGATGAACGAAGCGGTACGTTCAAAGAAGAGTTCCTCGTGGATCTACTTCGAAGTGTAAATGAAAAAATCGATTAATATTCGCCAGGGCTGTCCGATCTTCGAATTTGATCATGGTCAGTTTCTGGCATCCCTAACAGAGATATAACAATAGTTACATAATATATTATGTGTGTGTGTGTGTGTGTGTAGATCATGACCAACATGGCGAAAGTGAAGAGGAAGTCGATCCCTGTGCTGCCAGAAAGTGGTGATGAACCCCTGCAACGGCCAGTCACCCCTAGCTCTCATCGTAACGTCAATGCAATGTAAGTGAAATGAATACACAGACAATGTCAGACAGTCCTAATTTCAGTTCATTCTAAAGCTGACATGCTAATTGATGGTGTCTGTGACTGTCATGGTGACACATAGTGAGCAGGATAAGGTTGGGTTTCTTGCTCCAGGGTGGGCAGTCGCTTCCTAATGATTTGCAAAATACCACAGAATACTATATTGAGATAAAGTAATGCTATGTATGTCCTCTTTCATTTTATAGTGGACACATTTACATAGCTCACAATCTGACTTTTTATTCATTTTGACAATAACGGCTGCCAACTTTCTCAACCACACGGATAATGAAGACCTTTTGAAAGCAGTGCAGTAGGTCAAAGCAGGAATGCATTCAAACACAATTTGCCCTTAATCGTAGCAAAGCAAGACTGCATTGTTCATATACTTTGAATGAGTGAGCAAGAGGAAACTGGAACTGTAGCCGCTTTGTACTGAAAGGCATATCAAGTCAATAACAACTGTAAGACAGACATTAGAGATAATGGAGAGTGTTATTTTAGAGTAATAGATATGACGGTATGAGGGATCAGTGTACTACACATGAGCTGGCCCCAGAGATAAGGGAGGGTCAACTCACTCAAGTAACTGATAGTACTAATGGTATTGTTTGTTAAGAGTGTTGTACAACTATGTGTAGAAAAACTTTTAAGATTAAGGTTAAAAGATTTGAGATCAAGAAAACTACACTGATATATTCACTCTGATGGCTCTTCTTTAAAGCGAGGAAGGAAGTCTGCCTCCTTCTCGATACAACTCCCGCCCCCCCACACGCTCGGGCAGTCGCCCCAGCACTGCTGACTCCCTGCGTCACAGTATCGGTGAGTGAGTGTTATTTTCCATCCAAATGTTTCTCAAATATTATTTAACAATACATTTAAAAGCAGAAGAGTCTATACACAAAAAGTTGAAAATGACTACTTTGACAATCCCAGAATTACTGTGGCTTTTCATCAGATGTTTGCAGTCAACTGGATGTTTGTGTAATAATTCAATGTCCCTTCCACCGGCTGCACTTTATTTTGTTTGTGTGGATTTGTTTGATGTGATGCCCAGTGTCCACCTGGCAAGGACACTTCTGTGACTTCCTCACAAAGCACAAGAGATAAAGACTCAGCAGAATGGCCACCAAATGGTTCATGACCTATTTTTGACTTTCCATGAAACTAACGTCAGCGGGGCATCAGTTTATGCTCATTAGTTCCACAGTAACCACACTTGTGTAGCAGTACTGTTGCATTGGTTTAATTTAGGTTTTGAATTTGAAGTTGAAAGACAGATACCTACAGTAGATTCTAACTCCCGCCTTTCACAAAAACACACTCAGACTCGGAGTGCGGCCGGCTGTCCCAGGAGTCAGAGTTGGACGGGCCATATGAAGGGCAAGCCAGAAAAGTACATTCCCAGGTGGAACACAATGGACACTCTGCCAGGTAAACACACACACAACTGTAACTGCACGTGCAGACATACACACAACATGAGGCGGTGCTTTTGCCATCCAATTGCTGTGATAATATGGATTTCAATGGTTTTCCCACATGTAAAAAGGGTAAAAGGGACGAGCATGCAGAAATGTATACTTCCATCATATTCGTCCTTAACATATGTTGTAAAATAGCCCTCCATTAACCACAGAACCTAGAGGACATCATTATAAATTGTCCTTCAGAGCTGCTCACCTCCACTCAAGGTTTTTCCAAAAAGAAAAAGTATATATTCACGGATTCAAGGCTTTTATTGTTATTCGTACATAGCTACAGTGCAGTTATGACAATGAACATCTTAGGTCGCAGGCTCCTCCAACAGAGCAACACAATAAAACAGATACAATAGTAAAATAGAATATACTAGAAATAGTGCAGAATAGTCTATATATAAGTAATTGGTGTGGTTGGCTCGCATGTTGCGGTGAAAGTTGAAAGCATACAACGAAAAGTAAACAAACACTGAAATAAGGCGGGAAAAAAGGCAGAGTTGGAGAGGAACAAAAGACACGGCAGCCATCATCACCGGCGCCATCGTACATTATATGGGTCCCTATTGCCATTAGAAGGAGCACACAAAAGAACAAAGAACAACACAATTTAAAGAACACAAATTAAGCAATAAACGTGCTGGTTTATAATACCTTCCTTCTGACTCCAAACGAAGCACTGGAAGAGAGGGAACACGCAACAATAACACAATAAAACTGCAGTATTTAAATGAGAAGCCTTCAGATTGTGTGCTTTATGATCAGTTGTTTGTTCGCAACTACCAATACACAAATTCTTATTTACAATTATTGAACTAATATATTCAGATAATAAACAACTGTGCAAGTCAGCTGAGGTTCATGTGAAACTCTTGAGATGTGTGTCAGCGTATTTGTGCGTAGCGGAGAGTGTTGGCAGGAGTGTTCGGTGACTCAGCGTTGCCAAGCTGCTCTGTGAGACTGTGACATGCGTTCGAACGAGGACTTCCCACAAAGAGAGCCATTCAATCAAAGCTCCCCTGCTTCTCCTCTCCTTCACATCCCTAAGGAACTTGACTCCTGAATCCCGCCAAGAGCAATGATTCCCAGGAAACCGCTTCAGTTATCCCGCCCCATCACCCCATCCTCCCAACAAACGTAAAACACTCCTACAAAACCGACTTAAATGGCCTCATTTCACCCCAATTTCAAGGCAAGTCTTTGATATTCTGGTGAAAAGAATCTTAGCAACACAGCAATTTGGCAAATATCAAAAGTAGATTTTTGAATACCCTTTTTTTGTTTTGTTTACTGGAAAAGCTCTGATCCAAACTCATTCAACTCATTCGATTCAACCTCTATCAATGGAAGGGCCAGGAAGGCTTTTATGTTCCAGACATCAAAGTAGAGGACTTGACACTCTGTTGCTGACTTAGTTGTTATTTGTGCAAATGTTTTGCAGTTTATAAAACATGTATGCAAATGTCAGTTCCCTGCTCCACAGAAACGAGAGATTTTATAGACTCTATTAGAGCCCTTCACTTCCTTTTGCAACATTCAGTTTTACCAGATGATATCAGGGATGATGGAGCCAATGTGACTACTGTGAGCAGGAAGAAGAATGAGACTGAAATCCATCCATCTATTATTGTATGGGATTGCTCTCAGGATGTAGGTCATGTGGCTCCTGTCAGATAAGGACATAAGTGTGGGCCTTTGTGAGACTGGAGGCAGAAGAGTCATTTATTCAATATGATCCTGTTTCTCAGACTCACACAGGCATGACCACAAGTATTCTTTGTGGTTTTAGTAAACCATCGGGGCCTTTTTCCAATGCTTGCTTTTCATTGGAAGCCCATGCTAAATATTGTGTCATTTGTAGGGATGTAACGATACCAAAAACTCACGGTACGATAATATCGCGATAACAAGTCCACGGTACGATATGTATCGCGATATTGAAAAATAAAGGGGAAAAATTGAATGTGAATTTTTTTGAAACATTTTTTTGAAAACACTTTTTTTTTTTCTTGAAATTCTTTTCTTTATTAAATAATAAATCTGATTTGTACAGCATTTTTGTAGGATAGTAGTATTTTAAAGTGCCAAAAATATAATAATCAGACCCTGCAATAAAATAAAAATAAATTTAACTTGAGTTTTTCAAGTAACTCAAACTCACTAACTCACTCACTCAGCATCATCAGATAGGTTTTTTTTTAAGAATATGAGCATGTCCACATTTCCAGGTAGAAGCTGGGATGTTTGGGCGTTTACAATATCCCCTGCTGTGGAAAAAACTCTCGCTTGGTACTGATGTTGCTGGGATACAGAGATATGCTTTGGCCATGGGTGACAGCAGTAGGTCAAACTGTGCATTGTCTCTCCACCACTTCAAAAACAATACAGTTTTTGCCAAGAAGGTGAGGCTTATTGACAGGGCGAGATATAAATATACTGTTGGTACTTGTCAATGTCTCTAGGTATGTACATATAGCCCTGTAAATACAATGTCCTTTTGTGTTATCTGTTGTTTTATGTTCATGTTGTAACCTACTTGCGGCCATCTTGGACAGGTCTCCCTTGAAAAAGAGATCGATGATCTCAATGGGACCATCTGGTTAAATAAAGGTTTAAAAATAAAATGTCGTCAGTCTCACGACGGTATCGAGACATTTATTTACCGCGATATTCGTTGTATCGTTACATCCCTAGTCATTTGCATAACTATGAACTGCACACAGACTAGCTGTCCCTGTTTGCTATCTCTGAAGTATCAAACAATAGTCTGGTATGCCAGCTATTGACTGAAACGAGTGAAGTGATGCTATCAAGGGCAAGAGGCTTGTGTGAGGTTGATGTTGCACACAGTAAAGCTGTGATATCTGTGCTATGAAACCTTCTTTGAAATGAGATTTGTTCATGGGTGTCGTGTCTCACAGCTACTGAGAAGCTCACCAGATAGAAAATGATCCTTCTAACCGTAAGAAATAAGAGTAGAGGAACTAAAGAACATCAATAAAGTAGTTTTTGTATAGATTGGTCAATGTAGCCTTACTCTATGTTCCAATGTATTTTTCAAAAGCAAATGTCGTTTAGGCAAGGCAAGTTTATTTATACACACCTTTCAACACAATGTGATTCAAAGTACTTTACAAAAATGAAAGACATTAAGAGCATTAAGAAACATATTATAAAATGGCATTTAAAAACACTCATTTAAAAGCAAAGATAATAAAACATGAATAACAAAATTACATGAGTTAAAGTTGCAGTGCAGTGGGAGATACACACATCTGAAATATTTAGGTCTGACTCTCAATCATTGCTAACTTTTTAGCAGAAATAGTTTTCTTTGACCTCACTTTCTTTCTACTTTAATTTGTAACTTATCCTTGTGTGTTTCATGCTAAACGAACCCCCCTTTTGAAAATCTGCAACCCAATATTCCGAAAATTCAACGGATCCTGGCCAATTCATTTGGTCCCAGACATTCATGTGGCTTGCTCGTTTAGTTATATGTTATCACCTTTTTTTTTTTCATGGTGTTTATTTTGATTTGTGAAACAGATGGAGTTATTGTTGTTATATTTGATTAAAGCTACAAAGAAAAACAAATCTTTTATTTCTTCCTCTTCCTTTCCCTGTGTTCAGTGGTGAGTATGGCTCTGCATATTCAAGCCAGCCCAAAGTTCCCCGAACCCCTGAACATCCAGCCCGACAGAACAGCAGCGCTCTGCGGGCTCGGGGCCCCGCTCTGGCCCCCCAGTTTTCCCACTCAGAGCCACAGCAGAGCAGCCGGCCCGGCTCCGTGAGCGCCACAGAAGGAGGGGGACAACAGAGTGGAAGTAAGCATATGCCCACCAGGCGGTTGGCAAGTGTGTGCTCCGGCTGGTTGCTGTATTATGATATAGAAAATGAAGTTGGCTTGAAAAACACGTCTACATCTAACATGGTCTGAGTTGAATTCTGTCTCTGTATGTTTTCCTTGAAGCTCAGGTTACACAAAGTAATTTTTAGCATTTTCTGACCTTCTTTCTGGACTTGTGTACCAAAACGTGCCAACATTGTTTGATAGCTTTTAAAAGGCCGTTCTCAGTTGCCAAAAATTGGCTTAAACATTTTAAAGTGTTTATTCATACATTCACTCACAGTTGCCTCAACCCTTGACAGACCATGTGTTGTTGTGTTTAACTGCTTCTTAGATATATTTGAACATTGTGTTTTAAATAGCAAACATGGCAGATGAGAGCGCGTGAAAGGTGTGTTTTTGTTGGCATCATATAACTTTGCTTTTAGAACAACTAAAAAAAAGATATTATTTTTTTGAGGCCCCTTCCCTGAGCCACATACATTTTCTTCTTTGTCAACTTCACATATTAAAATAGAACTTAAAGGATGGACGGCCTGCCCGGTAGCTCTGGTGCCTTTAGTTGGGTGATAACATCTCTCCATGCTCTCATGCATCTTAACTGTATTTGATGAGCGAGAACCTCCGGCTCTTACACAGAGTGTCCTTACCATTAAGCCTCTAATACGGCCTAATGCTTTGTCTTAGCCACCACATCCCTGTGTGTGTGTGTGTGTGTGTGTGTGTTTCACTTATGAGGTCTGGCAAGTGTCAGACCTCTATCGACTATCATAAGGAAGTCAGTTCATCGTAGCTCCGCTTGAAGGCAATAAGCAGGCGCACATGACATGGCAAACCAAATAAGTAGCTTTTATTTGTTCCTTCCCTTTGAGCTAGCCTCATACTTTTTTTTCTGAGCCACTATCTTTTCAGTTTCTTTTCACTTGAATCAAATCTGTCATTTAGCCGTTATTATGCCTTTTGATGGCTGCTTGGTGGAGTTTGGCAACCAACCACACACTGAGACAGGCTTCCCTTTAGGCCAGGGGTGTCCAAACTTTTTTCCCTAAGGGCCACACACAGAAACATATACGAAGGTCTGGGCCACTCACTAGAGGTGAGGTATATTGCCTCATAAGTTAGCAGAATCAATCAAATGTAGGTCAATTATGCTTAATACTTTAATATGCTTTAAAAAAAGCTCTCCATAGGGTTTACATTGTTTTGTTAGCAGGACTTCCTTAAAACAGGAGACTCAGATTGCTTATCGTAAGAGGAACTAGCAAGAGTTTATTTGAAGCTTGTTATTTAAATAAGTTATTATATTTATCAACTAACGTTTTTTTCAGCTTTGAAGAGTGGGCTTCTTAACACATGAATACTACTGTGTCATATGTGTTTTCATCTATATTTACAATACAAGACAAGCACAAGTTTCATTTATGGGCCATATTTCATTATACTTTTTGATTTGCTGAGGGCCGATTTTAAAATGGCTCGCGGGCCGCATTTGGCCCCTGGGACGTAGTTTGGACACCCCTGCTTTAGGCCCACATTTGGTAAACACATCAGTTGTGGCTGACAGAGACGATCCTTTGGCTGAGGACAGATAGAGGAGAGGTTTCTGTAGCTGACCACCCACTCAGCCTGCACAAAGGAGTTTGGGGAGCCATGCCGGCTTTCCTATGTTGACGATGGAAAAAAAACGCATTAACCTTCCCAAGTCATGTTGACACGGCTTCACATGATGACGGAGCCCCGTTATGTTGCCGGGGAAATTGTAGGAAGTGAAGCACTATCTCTGATCCCAAATTATAAAAATGATGACTAAGTAGGCAGGAATAAATGTAACAGATACAAAATATTTACCTTTTCAGAAGTAGCTACTTTGATTTTAAGATGAAATCAAATAAAACATTTCTTAGTAATCATACAGTAGTTAGGGGAAAACATTCCCGCCACAATTGAACTACTGGAAGTCCCTAAAAAAGTAGTTTTTCCATCCAGCAATGCCACTTGTAAGTCCACATTCCCTCAGATTCTGTTCTTTGTGTTGTGTTTTTCTTTCAGCAGGATTACAGTAAAACTATTGTCCTGGTTGTCATGACAAATTGGGTGTCTGATATTTGGAATGGATACAAACATATATTTATTCTCTCTCTCGTTAACATTGCGGGATAGGGTGTCTGGCCCGGGGGTCCGCCCTTTTTATTTTTATAATTGCCCCGATTCAATTTGTGAACCTCCCATGGTGTGTGTTTGGCACTGGAGGGCACTTGTAACATTCATCTGATAAAGGGGGGAAAACACATCAACAAAAAAAACATCCAAGCAGTTTATTTGTATATGTCCTAAAACATGTCAGGAGGCCATCTTCAATTTTTAGTTTTTTATTGATAAGTTAATCTCCTCTTTCCTAACCGTACACCCTTCCCTCCCTCTTCTCTCTCTCCTCCTTCAGGCAGTCAGTCGAAGAGGAGGTGAAGAGGGAGCTGTCACCATGGAGGAGCGTTATCTGTCCGGGAACATCAGGCTTCCTGTAACATCATCCCCTCAGGTTGGGATCGAGGTCAGGGCAACAGAGATGGTCCAGGATCAGCAGCAGCAGCAGCAGCAGGAGGCGCTTGAACAATGTGAAGGATTGTGGCTCTCCATTTTGTCTCCCCTTCCCCCCTTTTTGGCTTCAGCACAGACTTCTTCTGTAACATAATATAAACAATAACCACAATCCCCCGCCGTCCAACCCTGTGCACCTTGCAGTCTTAGCTGGCACTGATTCTCTCTACTCTCTCATCAAGGTTATAGTTGGCACCATTAAATATGTGAAACACATCCAGGCAGGACCAAATTCACATTTAGAGGAATGCGTGTATTCTAAGGAGTTTGCTCGGAGCTGAGGAGCTTAAAGATTGAAATATCCGATCATAGCTTTGCTTGAGTCTGAATACAAGCTGAAGTGTTCTTACTTAAGCATAGTATTGTTTTACCTGGTTTTCACTATATATAAATGAGGGATTAGGGGTTAAGAAAATATAACATGACTTGGCATACAGATAAAATGTTTGCTAAACTCTTGATTGTCAAAAAGGGAAATGTGTTCAACATGACGAATGGCAAATGATTTTTTATGTCTTTGAATCGATTGTACAGATATAAGTTCTCATCTTGATTTCACTACGTCCTGTATATATGGATTTTTTTAATGTGGTGGAAAAGATCCGTCCACATAAATAAATAATCGTACTGGCTTTATTTCAAATATTTCTCGTATCAGAGTAGCTGCTCTTGTCTAACTTATGTTCCAGGAAATGTTCAGCCTGACAAGTTGTCAGGCTAGTGCATGTTTAGAAATATATTTAGAAGTGCTTATTGCAATTAACATACACTACCCTCTATACACCATCTGACCAAAAGACTTGAATTGTGTCTTGAATCCAGCATTGTACATTTGCACGGTGTTATCCAGGCGTGGTAATGTACAGTTTATTTATGTAAACCGCTACATTTTTGTACTTTTTAAGTGGTTTTAAATAAATGTTTGACTATCTGTTTTGTCTTCGAAACCAACATGTCTTGCCTCGTTGATTGATGTGGATTTTCTCCGTTTTTGAAGCATTTTCTAAAAGCTCTGTTCTGCATCCTCACTGCAGCTGATCCAAAGCGCAGGCTAGAACTATAAATCACCTCCTTTACATAATGACTGCCAGCCAGTAGTTGGCATATTGTGCCCACGCAGTGTTGTGTGCTGCCCTTTGTGCTTCACTGTGCAAAGAAAAAGGTATTTGTGTTCAACTCGTCCAGAAGTCCCACAGCAGGAAGATGTCTGCTCCCGTATCGTGTTGTACACTGAAAGCTATGTTACACTCGCTAACTCACCTGACAGCTGCACTCTTACAAATGTTCTGAAAACACGCTGAAGCAAAGTCCCGATAATAATCACGAGTATTCAAGTTATATTCTAACATCAGCTGTCGCATGACTACTCAATACTTGCATTGGCTGCTCTGACAAAGGGTGGACAAGGTTTAATTTGTCATTGGGCAACAGAGAGTGCTTTCAGAGGACAGCATATGTTACAGGTGACAGGGCTAGACACATAGGCTGTAAAGATTGTACCTGCTTAGGGTTTTATAAAGTTTGGGTTCGGGAAAACTTGTAAAATCCAACTGCTGTTCATAGTAGGCAAACTGTCGCGAATGTAGTTTAAGATCTGAGTGGAATAATGGGATTTTTATAGTTGAAAAGATTAATAATAAAAACTATCTCTAATGGCAGTGTATATTTATCACTGATACATTTCCAGAAAAGATAAAGACTGAATGAGGAAGATGTGTAATCAAAGGAATGAGCCAGGATGTTCAGTTAAGGCCTGTCTCTCTCTCTCTCTCTCTTTCTCTCTCTCTCTCTCTCTCTCTCTCTCTCTCTCTCTCTCTCTCTCTTCCAGAGCTGCCAGAGTAGCTCTTTACTACTCACCACACTATCTTTTTTTTTTACGGTTGGTCCTTTTTTTATTGTCCTAACTAAACAAACATCTGCGTTTGCCTACACTGTAGGTGTGTTGCATTTGTGGCAAATTACGATTGGAACTGCCCTCCTATGTATGTCATCGGTGTTAACAAGCAAATAGTCCTTTTCAATGGCCTTACATGTCACACACAGGCTACGCACAGGTGTAAATAATACAAATGAATGAGTTGAGAAACCTTGTTGGCTCACCTGGTAATGTGTGGCTTTGATATATATCAAAGTTGGTCCTTTATCACAGTAACCCACGTTAAATTCCAGCTCTTAAATACAAGCCCTAATCCATCACATTTTTTAATACTATATATTTATATCAAGTGGGACAAGTAGAGTTCCAGTGACGAAGTTGTTACTACCCAAAAATACTTGTTAACATCCAGCCAAGAAAACACTTCATAAATATATAAAATACACACACATGCAATGTCGACTTTCCCTTCGATATGAAAAGTCTACAGGACTAATAGAGTTAGTTTAGCTCTGCAGGTCTGACTAACAGTCACATTTGGTCCCTGGAGACATGACATATTCAACAATTAATATGGTGGACTCTGCCAGTGAGCAGCAGCACAATGTGAGGAAACAGGACCTACATGACAGACTGACGCACTTGTAGCAGGTGGCCGTGTAACCCGGAGCTCCAGCTTTCACTTCAACTGAGAGGAAGCTGCTGTTTTCTATCAAAACAAACGTGTGCATAAAGACTGAAAGGAAAATTATCAAACATTTAACACAGCTTTTTTTAATGCACTGAGGGGATTCAGATGTGGGTCTTTACAGCACACAGTGCAGAAAAGTATTTTCCCTCCAGCTTGTATCTGAAAAAGTTGTAAAGCTAGTGGACAAGGCCGAGTTATAAATCAGACAAAGTGGGTAACAGCCCAGAGCCCTAAAAGCTCCTGACTAATTGCAATTGAAAGCTCACATGATAAGGGCCTAATTTCTCAGCTATAGCTATTGAAGAAGGCTCTTGTCAAAATCAATTTTAAAAGTTCCATTATTTCAGTTTTGTACTTGCAACAAATCTTACACAACAAAACTACTCTGGAAGAAATACATTTAAAGAATTGGTCCGTGGTTTTGACCATCACTCTCAAATGTTATCATAACAGTTGACTAATTTACTTACTTATTTCCCAATAAAGACCTTAGTTATACATTTTAACAGCGAAGAAGTGTAATTATACGACCTTCAACCTTGACCTTACTTATAATAAGAGTTAAAACACTTAACCCAGACACCTGTTTATGAACTTGTTAAGTAAAATGGTAAATGGTAAATGGACTGTACTTATATAGCGCTTTATCCAGTCTTTAAGACCCCTCAAAGCGCTTTACATACTACATGTCATTCACTCATTCACACCCATTCATACAGAGCAGTGTATGTTACTCTAGGACCTAACATTCACACACATTCACACACCGTTGGCCATGCCATCGGGAGCAACTCAGGGTTAAGTATCTTGCCAAAGGATACATCGACATGTTGACTGCATGGGCTGGGATCGAACCCACAACCTTCTGGTTGAAAGACGACCACATTCCCTCACAGCCACAGTCGCCCAAAAAGTGAACTTGCCGTGAGAAAATGTGAACATAACAGTGGGAATGATGGCAAAGAATCCAAAGGTAATTCCCAGTTAGTAGCCACTTGACAACAAAGACAGAAGCATCTTCCACTGAAGAGCCCTCACTGTCACCAAGATCACTGGCACCACTCTCAGTTTCGTTTACCAGTAGATACCATGTGCTCCACTGATAAAAGGTGACGCCAACTAAGAAGAGACAGCGTTTTAGTGTCTCTGTCTAGTGTCTACTGAACCTCCTGTTTCCTCCTGACCGGTCCTTTTGAACACACAGATAGAGGTGACCCCCACTACTGCCCTTTTGTCGTAAACAGTCGAAGCTGTATTTTTCCCGGAGGCTAGTTAAAAAAAACATTACATATTGACAGAATGTATTATTGTCAAAGCTTAGGATATTTTCCAAAAGACAGTATTGTTAAAGGTTTAAGAGGCCTCCTATCAAATAGAGTAAAGCAAAAGCTTATTTGGAATTCACCTTTTACATTTTTGACCTTCTCAGGAATGTCCACACAAACTGTCCATTAACCTTTAGCATGAAAGCTTCTACTCTTTTTTTGTGTGTACACCAGAGCAAATCCAAACAATGTTTTGTGAGACCCAGTTAATGACAGTTTCTGGCTTTGGGTTATGGAACAGGAAGGGGATAACATCTGAATCTGAATCTGAACAGCGAGCCCAGTTGCCTTCCTCTGGCCTGGATATTGGTCTGGATGACACCAACCTCTCTAGAAATGAGATTGACAGCTAATTATTTTTGATAGAAAACAACCGTTAATAAACTCAACTTGAAAATCAGCTATTTGCTATCATCAAATTAAGTCTGCCCAGGTGTCACAGACCTCTAGATGTAGAACCTTTCCAGTATAATCAGCACTTTTAGGAATTCTCTGTATCGGAGTAAAGTTTAGGGAAGAAAAAGAAGAATGTACATTTCTAAAAGCAATTCTGATTCAGAATTTGTCTTGAAAAATGTATTCATAGAGGTAAAAATACACACAAAAAGCGTACTTGTCCCAAAGGAACAAATACCATTTGGCTGTGTTCAGCCCTCCAGCAGGAGGGGGGAGTAATGAAGAGAACGCCACACGATGGTTATCGCTAGGCTTGGTCGTTTATTCTTGGTCAACAGCGTTTTAAAAAACAACCCAGGGCTTATGAGGACCATAAGATATGGTCAAATGCTCAGCCAAAAGTGAGTAAATTGACCTTGAGTTAAGAATGTACCGTCCTATTCTCAAATTGTTCTGTTGCTGCAAGATGCTAATTACACATATTTTCCAAAATAAAATCATAATAATCATTGATATCATTCGTGTGACTTTACCACTGGGACACTGCAGTCGTTAGTAAACATCAGAAGGTCACTAAATCACTAACTGTACAGGAAGGTTAACACTACCAAAGCACTACCAGGAACTTCATTTGGTAGAAATCAGCAAAGCGTGAAGAACTTTCTATTTGAAGTGATAAGGAGTACTTCAACCATGTCCTCTGGGTGCTGGTGACGTTAGATTGTTGACTAAACCCGTAGGGGCCTCTGCATTGGTTAGAAGGGGGGGGGGGGGGGGGGTGGGTGGGGGTGGGAGGGGGGGGCAGGTGTTTACCTATAGCCACAGCTGACAGGGGCCTTCATAACAGTCCGATCACATCCCTTTGTTCTATCAACCTTAAACATCCTCAGTTGACGGCTGAGTGGAAAAGAAGGAGGGGAAAGACAAAGATCCCCTCGAGCCATGTTCTCTTCCCCAGCAGTAAATTCTTTCATGGTGACTGAGGAGTTAGCAACCAGGGGCCCCCGCTCATCCCGAGAAGGAAGAGACCATGGATTTTCTGAGGCTCATTCATTCCAAGCAGACACTTGACAAAAGTTGCACAGAGTGAAAGGTAATCCTTGCCCAAATCCCCCAGGTGTGTTAAACCCAACAAAGGATTAGCACTAACTTCCTGTGTCAGAAGTACCGGCAAAGGTTTTCCATATCTTATTAAGAGTAGTTTTTTGTTATTAACACAAACCCTGCAGCTCACATACTTCATCGTTCTTCGATAAACTAGAAAAGATGAAAGGGAGGTGAGAAGGAAATTATCGCTAATGGAGTGATGCAGGGAAGGACGAGGGTGGGTCACATTGTGTAATTTCACCTGTTGCCGATCAAGATTGAACAAGTCTATCACTTCCCAGCATGCAGGTAGTTAAGAATGAGAGTAATGGGTAAACAATTCTATAAACTACTGTTATCTTTTACTCTTAGTGTTGATCTGTGGACGTTTTGAGAACAATACTTCTTACTCAAGGATGTTAAAACAATGCTACAGATAAGAGGTGTTTGATATACCAACAGTAGCACTAGTTGTTGAAAAGGACACGTTAGTTGTTGCTGCTAAGAGTTGCCTGCTGTTGTTTGAAACAAGATGGACAAGAGATGTTCGGGTTAG